GTTGACAGAATTTATTTCTTTCGAGTTTGTTTAGGGTCCATTGGGGGGGGGTAGAAATGTTGACAGAATTTATTTCTTTCGAGTTTGTTTAGGGTTTTGTTATTATTCGTAACTTTTTTTTTCATGTTTGATGCCATTTTTATTTTGGGCATGGAAAGGTGAGGGAGAGGAAGGAGAAAGAGGAGAGGGAGATGGGGGACGAGAAAGTTAGCGGGAGAGAAAGGGGAGGATGAGAGAAGCGGCGACGAGACCGAGGTGTGAGAGCGGGATGCAAGGCTGAGAGAAACTCGCTTAGGGCATATTGAGACTAGGGCGCTTTTGCTTATGTATGCACGTTTTTGCGGTCAGATGCATCCAGTCCGGGCGTAAATGCGGTCAGGTACATTTTAGATAGTGCTATTGTGAGTATGCCCTTAGGGGAGGGAATGAGAAGAGGGAGCAGAGGAGAAGAGTGGGGAAAGGGAGATCGCGATAGTAAGGTAAAGAGGGTGGAGAAAAATTACCATGGAGGGGGTTCCCCTTGATTGTGTGAGATCTACCTATGCTTGCAGGGGGGGTCCAGTGGTAGGTAGGTAGTGAAAGGTGACATCGAGAGGAAAAGACTGAGAAGAAGAAATAGGGGAAAGGGAGGAGAGAGGAGGGAAGAAAGTTTGATAGGGGTAGATGGGGGAAAGAAAGGCCCTGATGGGGGGCGAAAGGTCTTGATTGGGGGAGAGAGAACGGTCGCGATGGGGCCGAAGGAAGGGGAGGGGAGGAAGGGGGCAGAACAGGGGAAAGAGGAGGTAATTGGGTAGAGAAGGCTCGTCATAGGGGAAGGGATGGGGAGAGGGAGGAGAGAGAGGAAAGGTCGTGACGTGCGGAGGAGGGAAGGCAAGAGGGAGGAGAGGAAGTCAATGGGGGAGACATGAAGGTTTAGATATGGGAAGAGGAGAGAGGAGGGAGATTGGAGAGAACGAAAGGGGAGAGGGTGGAGAGGGTGAATCGCGCAGAGAATTAATTGGTTATATTTATCAGAACTTTTTTTTTTTTTTACTGTATTTTTTATTATTGTATATTATATTTGTGTAATTTTTTTTTTTTTGTACTCGTTATTGCCTGGAATGATTTCTCATCCAAGAAAAAGGAATGGAAAAAAAAATTTACACTATTTTTAAGTATTGGCCTTATTGGGAGAATAATTGAGAATAACCCCCCCTCTTTCTCGTCGCAATTTTGTTAATCCCCCAAAAAATTACCCTTTCGGCATACGTCCTCCCCTGGGGCTGGGTCAGGAAATATACTTGGGGGGGGAAAAAAGAAATATATTTGGGAAAAAAGGAAACATATTCGGGGGAAAAAGGGAATATATACGGGAATCAATCTCTGGGGCACGGTTCCACTAGCACACGAGTCATGGCCTATTTGGACCTGTGCGGCACTGTAAGAAAAGGAAGAAAAGTAATTTTAAAGACCACTAGTACCTTTCCCGCGTGGGAAAATAGGGAAAACTGGCTACTCCTGAAAATTCGGACAAACGAAAAGACTGCCATTGGTAAATCTGATCGGACGCTGTCGTTTCTTTTGTCGTCGGGCCGGGCCTCCGAATTTTCAGGAGTAGCCAGTTTCCCCTATTTTCCCATGCGGGAAAGGTACTAGTAAAAAAGAAAAATGGCGACGTTACATTTCCCAAGATGGGAAGGAGGCCGACTTTTGAAAGTGCAGCCGTCCCACTAATCCTCCCGTCTCCTCCCCCTCCTCTCCATCCAGCCAATTCCTAATCAGGACAAAGTGGTACGTGACCGTTGCAGTCTGGCGTACCACGGCGAGGGAGTCCCTTCGTGTGCCTGATGGGACTCCCTCCTCTGACGGTTGCCATGCTGAAGCGTGCATTTCGTATATTTTGAGAGAAAATCGAAGTACTGGATGGGGTTAACAATTGACAGGGAAAAAGAAGGGGGTCAAAACCACGCCCTTCGAGTACTTCTGATTTTTTAAAATCTTTTGAAGAGCTGCCAATCAAAACGAGTCTTTCAATTTTCTTTTCCCGCCTCCCATTCTTGGGAACTGGGAAAAAAAAGCACAAAAAAAAAAAAAAAAAAAACACTTCAGAATATAAGTCCCTCGCAATTTTGCGCATCAGTAGTGTGGGACAGTTTACCTTACTCCTTTGCTACTGGAAGGGTGCTCCTGGCAGGTCCCTGCTACATTGTGATCAGTTTACTATCTGATCCGGAAAGAAAAAAAAAACGAAAGCAAAAAAGGAAATGTATTTTGCCGCTGTCTAAACTTCTGCTCGGTACCTGTTCCCTCTTCGTTTGTTTTTTTTTTTCCATTTTTTTTTCCCGTTTAAACAGGTGATTCGGAAAATCAACGGCCAGGGGCACGGTTCCACTAGCACACGAGTCATGGCCTAGTGCGACGCCTGTGACACTCCAGAAAAAGGAAGAAAACTCCAGAAAAACGAAGAAAAGAGAAAAAAGAAAATTAAAGTGGTGACTTCTCAAGTCCCAAGGTGGGGACGAGCCCGACCTTTGGAAGTGCTGCAAAAGGCTGTGCCATCTTCTTGACGGTAGAATGGACAGTGGATGAATGTATCCCTTGCAGAACGTAGCCATATTCACTTCTTCCATCTTTCTTTATTGCCTGAGGGTGCACCTATGACAAGTGCTATGTGACGATTGCAGTCCGRGTCTCACGTACCACAGAGAGGGAGTGGAGTCCCTTAGTATGCCCGACGGGACTGCCTCCTGTGACGGTTCCCATGTTCAAGCGTGAAGTCCTTATATTTTGAGAAAGAAATGAAGTACTCGAGGGGCTTTCTATTGACCGGAAAAGAAAGCACGGTCAATACGAACGACTTAGAGTACTTGATTTTTTTTTTTTTGTTTTCGACAACCACCAATCAAAAACAGACTTGGTATTTCTGTTCCCCACATCCTGTTATTCACCATAAAAAAAAAACAAGAAAAAGTAAATTAAAACACAAATTGTAAATATACAAACATCTTTATTTTGCTACCCTCGGATTTCGATGCAGCAATGGCTGGCGGATGTGCCCCCGACGTCCCACAGGTGTCACCATGCGACAATGTACCTTCCTCCGTTGCTAGTGGAACCGTGCCCCCTTGCCAAATATTTTAAAAATTTCCTCTTCCTAATTCTTTTCAAAATTATTATTATTATTTTTTATTATTATTATTTTTTTTCCCCGTAATTCGAAAATATTTTCTTTCGAAATTTCACGTTTTCTTGTAAATAAATTTAAATCTAAATCAGAATTTATTTTTTCAAAATTAATTATCTCTTTCTGTTCAGCGTTTATTTTATTTTATTTTTATTTATTTATTTATTTATTTATTTATTTATTTATTTTTTTGAAAAAAACTTGGCGATTATCTTTATTTTTGAATTTATTG